TTGAGGAGTGACCACAGAGATCCCTCTGCTTGGCTCACAGCCATGAATTTATTAAGGCCCACTGAAGAGTCTAAGTGGGAAGTCACGTATGCCGCTTCAACCTGTCCACTACCAACAGCAGGAGCAACCTCCTCCAGCTTGTCACGGATGGATGTAATTTTATTATTAAAGAAGTGGTAGAAAGTCGACACTGCCTCAGTGAGCTTGGAATTTATGCTCGATTGCGCTATGGCAGTTTGTGAGTTTAGCGACGGTGCCAAACAAAAAACTACTGTTGTTTTTATTCGCTTCTATTAAAGTTGAATAGTATTGAGTTCGGAGCCCCGCGAAGGGGCCTTCTTGTAGTTTCGGAACCTGCTTTCCACTCCCTGTGGACAGGCTCCGAGTGGGAGTGGCGATAGAGCCTCTCCAATTTCTGACGCGTCCTGTTTTAAAGTGTGGAGTTGAACACTGTACCAGGGCGACGATGATCTAATCCTAATGGTTTTCTGGTTTCAGGAGCTGCTACATTTATGCAGATTTTAAAGTACTCCATAGTGGTGCCCACCGTTTGGTCAATGACTGAGGGACTGCAGCTGCTGTGAACAGGTTCACCTGCAGCAGTATCAACATAAGGCGGTATTAGTTCGGTGAACCTTGTGATAAGATTATCCTTTAAGGTTCTTTTCATTAGGGTTTTATCTTGCGGGACAGGAAAGTCCTCCAAAAGCGAGATCAAACGTGTATCAAGAAAGGTCAGACCGCAACGAGCTTTGACGCTGGAATGTCAACATTAGGAGACATCACAGCCGTAGGTCAGGACAAGGTCCAAGGTGTGGTTATGAATGTGAGTAGGTATCCTCGACATTCTGATAAAACCAACCACCCATCTAGTACGGCGCTGAAAGCTTTGTTTAAGCTGTCCGTGCTGTCGGTCGTCCACATGTATATTGAAGTCTCCAGCTTATGAACTATGTTTTCCCATTTCCAAAACTAGTGTTTGAAAATGAAGTCAGGAGAATTCGTTAGGAAGCGCGCTGTAAGGACCAGAGGTCGGTATAAAACTAATAAATAGTACTGCTTTTTGTTTCTCCACCCAGGACATGGTGATTGAAAGTGTTAAGTAACCTAACGAGTGAAAAAGCGTTGTTGGTTTTGGGACTAAGAACAGTTGGTGTGTGATATAATCGCAACACCCACCGCCGGCGACCTCTGTAGCTCTGGTCTTTCTGGTAGTTAACATGCGACGTAGGAGTGCACTCATTCAATCTAACGGACTCGTCCTGTTGAGCCAGTCGCCGAGAGCGGCAAACAGATCCAAGACCGTGTCTATAATAAATTTGCCCGTTTTTATGAGAAGCGGTTTAGACGAGACTGATCCGACGTTCCTTAAACCACATTATCAACAACCCTACCGCTAGAACTATTTCAGTCTGTCTGAACTTTATTAAGTACTGTGTCTGACAACCTAGTCAGATTTCTCGCATATATGCTTATAGACATCAGCGGGGGAACACACACAGTTTGTCAAATCTGACTAGGTCTGAGGCTAGGTAACTGAGCACACACAGGCCACACTCACATGCACACATAGTTTCAATCTGACTAGCTCTGAGCTAGTAACTGAACAGATGGGGGCATCAGAGGTTTGTGGCTGAGCAGCCTCTGCACCCGGGCCTCATTCTGCCCCATCGTCATTTGAGCCGGCAGAACAGGTTAGAGCCTGGGGCCACTTCTTACCAAAAGGGATGTACCCGCCAACGTTGGGTGGATATCATCCGAGCGGATGAACCGGGCATTCCCCAAAAAGGCACTCCAATTGTCAACATGAACAACACCACTTCGAGGGCACCAGCCAGACAGCCAGCGGTTTAAGCCGAGTGTCTGCTGAATGCTTCTGGCTCTGCTAGTGCATAGGTAGGGGCCCAGAGAAGATGACAGTGTCGGCGCATTGTGCTAGCCAGCTTGCACTCGGCGGCGACGTCACGCTTCAACCACTCGACTGTTTTCCGCCGAACGTCAATACCACCCGCGTGCATAACAATTCGACGGAAACGCTGCTTGTGGGTCATCAGAGCCGCCAGATTCCCTTCAATTATCACCAAGCCCTGGCCCCAGGGAAGCACCGAACACGTGGCTCCCTGTATCTTAACACCTCCTAACATGAGGAGACAAGGACCAGCACAGCAGCGACTCCAGCGGCACTCTCAGCATCTCTCAGCAGCTCATCTCAGTGGGGGCCTTACTTCCCCGCCCGGCCGCGCGGGGCGCAGCCGGACAGAGCGTCCACTGATGTGTAAATGCTAACAAGGAGGCCCAATGGGAAAAAACTACCAACAAACTCCGCCCCTACCGAACATCACAAAGCCATCACTATCCTGGTCTTGTCCCCAGCTGCGGAGATAAAGAGAACGGGGCGGGAGGCTAGGCTCGCTTATTGTCACCTCTCCTTAGCCCTAAAGGCTGCGCTCCCGCTGTCCCTGAGGATACGGCCTGGCTGTAGCGAATGCTAGGCGCTAGCTCGAGACTCCAGTGCGCGAGACGCAGGCTCAACTCACGTTACCCCTGTTTCCAAGAGCTACGACTCCACTACACTTCACACAGCTATCACTACCTCAGAAGGATCCAGGGTTTAACTCGGCATAGAGGGCTACGGCCAGCAGTAAAGGATGAGGAGAACAACAGCCGCATAGTAGCGGAGTTAGGGCGGCAGGCGAAGCTAGGCTAGGCTAACTAGGACGGATCCGCCCGCCAACAGACTCCGAGACCAGACAAACAACCGCTACCTAAACAACCGCTGCAGTAGCAGCGACTCGGATGCTTACACAGTTAGCTTGGGATACAAGACGTGGGATGGTGTAATGTGTTTTAGAGCAAACAAGAGCAGAGTGATAGCAGTCAAGAAACACGCGCACCGATACAGGAAGTCCACGTCACGTCACGTTACAAAATAAAATCGGATGAAAGCCAGCCAATAAGCAAGAGCTCTTCCTTAGGGCGTTCTTTGGAGCTAGCGGTGAGCATTAGCAACAGTATACAGTCTGTTTGTGTGCAAGCCCCGGCGATCCAAGATGGCCGCCCTATTCAAATGATGGTTTGCTCAGTGGGCGCTTTGTGAGGGCATGGGGGCTGAAATGATTAGCGGAAGTTCGCCTTAAACTCAGCTAAGAGCTAGGGGGAAACGCTCAAAGATCGATGGAAATCGCGCAAAAGATCATGGAAACTCTACAAAAGATCGATGGGAAACTATCAAGAGTCTATGGAACTCGCAAAGATCTTTGGGAAACTCTCAAAGATCTATGGGAAAACTCTCAAAGATCTCTGGGAAACTCTCAAGATCTATGGGGAAACTCTCAAAGATCTATGGGGGAAACTCTCAAAGATCGATGGGAAAACTCCTCAAAGATCTTTGGGAAACTCTCCTGTATTTCTGGGGCAGCGGTCTGGTCCTCCCGGTTCTGGTGCAGTGTATTAGCTCCCAATAAGGGCATTGCGCCTAACACGCGTGTGTGGGTCTCACACCGTGTCTCAAAGCACGTCACAGAGGGGGGTCTCACGCACGTGCACAGAGGGTCTCACGCACGTGCCCAGAGGGCTCGGCCCAGCCTCTGACCAATCAGAGCATCATCAGAGCGGGAGTTAGAGCGAGAGCCAGAGGAGCAGAGTTTGTGGCACTAAAGTGTGGATTTAAACAAAACCGAGGATTTAAGAAGAACAAAAGTTCAGGGATGACAGGACACTAATAATCCCCACAAAATACGATCTTTTATTAAAGCTGTAGTTCTCTAGTCAGTTTCTCTGTCAGCTGAGGTCGAGCTGTGTGTTACTTAAATATGCATTGAGTGCTAGGGGAAATTTCTCGGTTAGCCCACGGGAATCTGGTCGCAAGAGGGCGCCTCGGGCTCTCTCTGGTCGCTCGCCTGCTCTCTCTGGCTCTCTCGGTCTCTTCTGGTCTCTCATCTGTCCTCTCGCTGGTCTCCTCTCTGGGGGCTGCTTGAGTGGCGTGCTAAGCCCGAATATACATTTAAATTGCCTTTAAATATCATTTAACTTGCACATATACCGCCGAAGCATCGTGGTAGTTTGTTTTGAACATGTCTTCAAGTCAGCGAACATCAAAAAAGGACTCTAAAGCCGGTAAAAGCGAGGATCCGAAAGCGAGTCAGAAGCAGCTAACTCTGGAGGCTAGCATGGCTAGCAGTGATAGCAGTGGTGAAACACCGATGCTAGCACAACTACGAAAGTTTTGCAAGGAATCTGGGGAGGCTCAGAAGGACATCATAGAATCCCAAGCGCGGATGGAGGCATCCCTGGGAGAGATTGCCACGAGAATGGACTGGAACAGCGGATGGACTCTGCGGAATGAGTAACGCGGAGGACAGAGGCCTGCGGCAAGAAAGAGCATTAGCCTATCTGTTAAACAAGGATGCTAAGCTAACCGCACGACAAGAAGACCTAGAAAATAGACTCCGCAGAAACAATGTTAGAGTCTGTGGTGTGCCAGAGGGCGCGGAGGGTGTATGCCCCAGTTCGTTACGAACTTGTTCAAGACATGTTTACAGTTGCAGGAGGATTTGCATATTCAACTTGAGAGAGCCCACAGAGCAACTACACTTAAGCCTGCGGGGACAGCGCCACCAAGATCCATAATTGTTCGGTTTTTAGACTTTAGTGTTAAACAAGTGGTGCTCCAACAGGCGTGGAAGCAGCGGGAGGTGCAGTTTCTAGGAAAACGAATCTATTTTGATCAGGATTATTCACCCGAACTCCAGAGGAAAAGGAAGCAGGTGCGTGAGATCGTCAAAAGGCTTAAAGAGCTTATTAGGGCACAAGTACCATACCCAGCTCAGCTACGCGTGTTTCTGGACTCGGGTGTTAAGACTTTCCAGTCTCTGTGCGACGCCCAGTCAACTCTAAAGAGCTTAGGAGTGAACGTGCAGATTGATGAACGGGACATTTTGGAAAGAGAGTTCCAAAACAGATGGAGCACCCAAGGCAGGCACAAGAAAGAAGAGCCAAACCTCACTCCCAGAGAAATAAGGGCCATCCTGAGCGGTGTAGATCAAGATGACATGGCTGGAGAATAAAACATCTCTCAGGTGTTTTATACAAGTATAGATATGGAACGGTGGGTGATGTGAAAGGTTAAATCAGACACAAATATTACCGGCAATTTCTGGTGAAAGTTTGTTATTAGTTTGGGCTGGCACAGGAAAATCTGTGTCCTTTTTTTTTCTTTTCTTTTTTCCTCGTCAGCGGGACCGGGGCATTACTGCAGCAGAGACTTGGACAAATGCAGACTGCTGCTTACACTGTTTGTGTACCTGCTCCAGGGAATCTCGCTTCCCTGCTCCTTTCACACCTGGGGGGGGGTTGCACTTGGACTTATGTTGACCATCAGTGCAACTGTCAAAAGCAACCCTCGGCATTGTTGGAAGTTCATTGTTTTTGTTTTTGTTCGCGTTCATTATTTACTTGTTTACTTATTTGCAGACGGTCAGTATTAGTTGATTATTTTGTAAAGATTGTCAAGGTAAACTTTGATTTCAGGTACATTTCATTATGGAAAATGTGAGTATTGTTAGTTACAATGTAAATGGATTAAACAACCCTATCAAAAGGAAGAAAGTATTAGGACAGTATTAGGGCTAATACAAGAAACCCATTTAAATGACATTGAACACACAAAGCTAAAACGAGAGTGGGTGGGACACATTTTCTGCGCCTCATATGAAAATTATAAAAAACGGGGAGTAACTATACTATGCCACAAATCCTTATGTTTTACACCAGAAAAAGTTCTAAATGGCCGCTGGGTAATGGTTATTGGCACTATTGGGGAAAATATTTTAACAATTATGAATCTCTATGCGCCAAATGAAGACAATCCAGGTTTTTTCAGGGACGTTGCTCAAGTTCTAGCAGGAAATTCTAAAGGAATAGTAGTTCTAGGAGGAGATTTTAACTGTGTACTGAATCATCAAATGGATAAATTCCCCTCTGGACAAAAATATCAAACATCAAAATCGAAAGTGCTGTGCAATCTATTGGAGGAGCTGGGGCTCATCGATATTTGGCGTGCAAAGAATCCAAAGGTTAGAGATTACACCCACTTTTCAAAAGTACATAAAAGTCACTCTAGAATAGACTTTTTCTGTATCTCAACTCAGGAGGCCTATAGAGTAAAACATTGTCGCATTGAGCCTCAAACAATCTCTGATCATGGACCGGTTGTGATGTCCATCACTTTGGATCAGGACAAACAACCTAAAATATGGAGATTGAACGTGTCAATTTTGAATAACCCGGACGTTGTTCAATCTATTAAAAATGAGATTAAACAATATTTAGACTTGAACGATAATGATATTTCTCCCTCGACCTTATGGGACGCTGCGAAGGTGGTATTGAGGGGGAAAATTATATCGATCTCATCATATTTGAAACACGAACGTGAGAAGACTTTGAAGAACTTAGAAGAACAAATTGAACAATTGGAGAAGGAGCATAAAAGGACAAATGATGTCAACACTCTGACAGAACTCATTAGGAGTAGACACAAATTAGACGATATACTGACCTACAAAGCAGAGGGAGCCTTACGCTTTTCCAATCAAAAGTACTACGAACAGGGAAATAAAGCGAGTAGGTTGCTTGCCTTCCAACTTAAAAAATCCCAGTCCAGTCGAATAGTTCAAAAGGTGACGTGTCCCACCTCAAAGAAAATAGTGTCTCATCCCAAGGAAATAGCAAACGCATTCTCGAGTTATTACACCCAGCTATATGAGTCTGCCACCTCCTTGGACAAATCAGAGAAAATTAAGAAGTTTCTTCACCAAATTAAACTCCCTAAATTAGAAGACAATGACTCTAAGGCACTAGTAGAGAATATAACTAAGGAAGAAATAAGATTCACCATCAAAAAGTTAAAAAACAATAAATCCCCCGGCCCTGATGGCTTTCCAGGGGAATTTTATAAATGCTTTGAAAGTGAGCTCACTCCTATTTTGCATAGAGTATTTAATTATGCATTAAATTCTAAAAATCCTCCAAAGACATGGGCAGAGGCATTAATCTCGGTCATACACAAAGAGGGGAAAGATCCCACACAGTGCGCCTCCTATAGGCCTATTAGCTTATTATGTAATGATGTGAAAATGTTGACTGCTATACTAGCTAGAAGACTTCAAAGAGTAATTAACAAACTGATTAGACCAGACCAGACAGGTTTCATACCTGGAAGAGTTGGATTCAATAACATTAGGCTCTTAATATCATGACAACTGCCCGGGAGAGATCCCACCCGTCGATGCTTCTCAGCCTCGATGCCGAGAAGGCATTCGACCGAGTGGTTGTTCTTGAAGCATGTGTTATCAACAATGGGGTTTGATGGAAAGTTTAATGAGTGGTTTGATGTATTTTATTCAAATCCAACATCCAGGGTACGGGTAAATGGATATATTTCTGATAGTTTCCCTTTAAAAAAAGGCACTCGCCAAGGCTGCGGATTATCACCAATTTTGTTTGCTATTAGTATTGAGCCTTTGGCCGAACTAATTAGAAGTGACCCTTTAATCTTGGGTATATCAGACAAAACCAGGACCCATAAATTATCACTGTACGCAGATGATGTAATTTTATACATTAGAGACCCCGTGACCTCCATACCGGAACTCTTAAAATGCTTGAAAATGTACAGTGAGGTTTCGGGTTACAGAGTAAATAATTCCAAATCTGAAGCGATGATGATTAAGGGCCAATGGCCTCTTGAGTTATCCAAAAAGGTTACATTCAACTGGTCACAGGGGTTTCGATACTTGGGGGTTGTAATTACATCGGATACTTCTCAGTTGTACAAAGCAAATGTTGAAAAATTAATTGAGCAAATACGGAAGGATTTGGATAGATGGGAGATCTTGCCTCTCTCGTTTTTTGGAAGAATAGAAACTGTTCGAATGAACATTCTCCCCAGGTTACTATATTTATTTTTGTCTCTTCCTATTTTCATACCAGCAAGTATATTTAAAAAGCTGCAAACTATGATCTCTAAATTTATTTGGCAACAGAAGAAACCGAGAATAAAATTCTCACAACTGTCCAACCCTAAAAGGTGCGGGGGCCTTAACCTACCAAATTTAAAACTATATTACTGTGCAGCTGAGTGGCTGACGCTGGAGCAGAGTTCGTATTCTGAATCTCTGCTTCAGGCTTTGATGTGGTGCTCTAAGGATAGAATGAACAAAGTGTCAAATATCTGGACAAAATGCACTCTCAAAGTTGGCAACACAATACGAAAAAAAGTCAGAGCTCCGCTGTCCATTTCTAGAGCAATGAAGATTACAGACATTGTGGACTTTAAGCAAAATTCGATTTTAGATTCAATGAATGGATAAACAAAGGGATTTTACTTATAAATGATCTGTTTGAGGGCGAAGTCTTATTATCATTCTCACAATTACAAAAGAAGTTTGATCTTAATACAAAAGATTTCTATAGGTTCCTACAATTACGGAGTTATTTGACATCGCATAAGGAATGGCTATCCCTAAAGAGACCTCCTTCTGATTTAGAAGGATATCTGATCAATTTACAAAAGAAACAAAAAAGTGAAAAAGTGGTGTCAAACATGTACAAATGTCTACAGACAGGTGTGACAGGGGGGTCTCTGGAGACAAAGAATAAGTGGGAAACAGAAATGAGTCTAGTGATTGAAGACGATATCTGGGAGCAAATATGCGAATACGGGCACAAATTGACTCACAGTCCAACATGGAAGGAATTTGCATGGAAAATAAATCTCAGATTTTTCAAAACCCCTCTAATGATTTCCAAATTTGATAAGTCCAAGACAAACCAATGTTGGAGGCTCTGTGGTGGAGTGGGGGACCACACACACATCTTTTGCACACCAATATTGAAGGTGGCCCACTCTCTTTTGTCTTTGGTTTCCTCCCCCCTGATTATTTAAGCAAACACAAGATGTATTTATTCAGATACTGGTGTTGGTGGCTAAGAAATTAATAACTGTGTCCTGGTTGAAGCCACTGCCCCCGACAGTCACTCAATGGAAAGATAGATTACTTAAAGTTTATGCAATGGAAAGAATAACAGCACATCTTAATTTGGATATGGTTTTGTTTGAGAAAAGGTGGAATCCAGTGGTGACATACTTTGATTTGACATAGGGCTGTTTTGTTTTTTTTTTTCTTTTTGAATTTGGACTTAAATTAGGGTGTGTACTAGAGCCATACCTTTAACTAGAATTTTACTCTTGGCTGTTTTTACCCTGTCTACTGTGGATACGACCGTCTGCCAAATGTTTTCTGTTTCGGTTCGAGAGAATGCAGCACTAAAGCGTTTCCTTTTCTCCTCATATATGTTGTGTTATGTTGTCATATTCTGGAAAGCTTGAATTATCAATAAAAAACTTTTGTTCAAAAAAAAAAAAGAATATACGGACACTGTGACGCCATACATTCACTTCTGTGAGGATAGCATCATTCCAACAAGGACCAGGGTCATCTATAACAACGACAAACCCTGGTTCACTGTGTAGTCAATAATTCCCTTTGACTGACGTGTTCAATATTTGGTACAGAAATCAGACAAAGATTCTCCAAGTTTAACATCTGTATTTAATTTATCTTTACAATCAGATACAGAAATTCCAACAAAGAGTGCTCTTAAAAGCTAATCCATGTCCCTCTCTTCTTGCCCTGTGCTGACCTCCCCCAGAACTCAAGCCAACCGTTTTTATCTGGACGTCTGATGACGTCACTTGTGGGCGTCTCCCGAATGTTCATTTCGGGTGTGCTGGCGTCCCGTGTCCACTGGGAGGCGTCAGAACGCCGTTGGTGAATCCCCAGTCTGCCTTAAGAGATTAGCCAGATGGTGGTTTGAACTTTGATCTCGCCAGAGAGACAAGAATGTTTATTTCTGGAGTTAATAATTTGTCTTGTTTTGAAAGCTGGTCCTCTTTATGATTCCCGTACTATCTTGTGTCCTTGGGGTTTTTCCTGAGTGCACAGAGGTCTTTTTGGCTATGAT